GAACTGAAGGAGATAGAGACACAAAAAACCCTCCAAAAAATCAATGAATCCAGGAGCTGGTTTTTTGAAAAGATCAACAAAATTGATAGACCACTAGCAAGATTAATAAAGAAGAAAAGAGAGAAGAATCAAATAGATGCAATAAAAAATGATAAAGGGGCTATCACCACTGACCCCACAGAAATGCAAACTACCATCAGAGAATACTATAAACACCTCTACTCAAATAAACTAGAAAACCTAGAAGAAATGGATAATTTCCTGGACACTTACACTCTCCCAAGACTAAACCAGGAAGAAGTTGAATCCCTGAATAGACCAATAGCAGGCTCTGAAATTGAAGCAATAATTAATAGCCTACCAATCAAAAAAAGTCCAGGACCAGACGGCTTCACAGACGAATTCTACCAGAGGTACAAGGAGGAGCTGGTACCATTCCTTCTGAAACTATTCCAATCAATAGAAAAAGAGGGAATTCTCCCTAACTCATTTTATGAAGCCAACATCATCCTGATACTAAAGCTTGGCAGAGACACAACAATAAAAGAGAATTTTAGACCAATATCCCTGATGAACATTGATGCAAAAATCCTCAATGAAATACTGGCAAACCGAATCCAGCAGCACATCAAAAAGCTTATCCACCATGATCAAGTGGGCTTCATCCCTGGGATGCAAGGCTGATTCAATATACACAAATCAATAAACGTAATCCAGCATATAAACAGAACCAAAGACAAAAACCACATGATTATCTCAATAGATGTAGAAAAGGCCTTCAACAAAATTCAACAGCCCTTCAAGCTAAAAACTCTCAATAAATTCGTATTAATGAAACATATCTCGAAATAATAAGAACTATTTATGACAAACCTACAGCCAATATCATACTGAATGGGCAAAAACTGGAAGCATTCCCTTTGGAAACTGGCACAAGACAGGGATGCCCTCTCTCACCACTCCTATTCAACATAGTGTTGGAAGTTCTGGCTGGGGCAATCAGGCAAGAGAAAGAAATAATGGGTATTCAGTTAGGAAAAGAAGAAGTCAAATTGTCCCTGTTTGCAGATGACATGATTGTATATTTAGAAAACCCCATCATCTCAGCCCAAAATCTCCTTAAGCTGATAAGCAACTTCAGCAAAGTCTCAGGATACAAAATCAATGTGCAAAACTCACAAGCATTATTATACACCAGTAACAGACAAACAGAGAGCCAAATCATGAATGAACTCCCATTCACAATAGCTTCAAAGATAATAAAATGCCTATTAATCCAACTTACAAGGAGTGTAAAGGACCTCTTCAAGGAGAACTACAAACCACTGCTCAACGAAATAAAAGAGGACACAAACAAATGGAAGAACATACCATGCTCATGAATAGGAAGAATCAATACCATGAAAATGGCCAAACTGCCCAAGGTAATTTTTAGATTCAATGCCATCCCCATGAAGCTACCAATGACTTTCTTCACAGAATTGGAAAAAACTACTTTAAAGTTCATATGGAACCAAAAAAGAGCCCGCATTGCCAAGACAATCCTAAATCAAAAGAACAAAGCTGGAGGCATCATGCTACCTGACTTCAAACTATACTACAAGGCTACAGTAACCAAAACAGCATGGTACTGGTACCAAAACAGAGATATAGACCAAGGGAACAGAACAGAGCCCTCAGAAATAACACCACACATCTACAGCCATCTGATCTTTGACAAACATGACAAAAACAAGAAATGGGGAAAGGATTCCCTATTTAATAAATGGTGTTGGGAAAATTGGCTAGCCATAAGTAGAAAGCTGAAACTGGATCCTTTCCTTACTCCTTATATGAAAATTAATTCAAGATGGATTAGAGACTTAAATGTTAGACCTAAAACCATAAAAAACCCTAGAAGAAAACCTAGGCAATACCATTCAGGACATAGGCATGGGCAAGGACTTCATGTCTAAAACACCAAAAGCAACAGTAACAAAAGCCAAAATTGAGAAATGGGATCTAATTATACTAAAGAGCTTCTGCACAGCAAAAGAAACTACCATCAGAGTGAACAGGCAAACTACAGAATGGGAGAAAATTGTTGCAATCTACTCATCTGACAAGGGACTAATATCCAGAACCTAGAAAGAACTCAATCAAATGTACAAGAAAAAAACAAACAACCCCATCAAAGAATGGGCAAAGGATATGAACAGACACTTCTCAAAAGAAGACATTTATACAGCCAACAGACACATGAAAAAATGCTCATCATCACTGGTCATCAGAGAAATGCAAATCAAAACCACAATGAGATACCATCTCACACCAGTTAGAATGGCAATCATTAAAAAATCAGGAAACGACAGGTGCTGGAGAGGATGTGGAGAGACAGGAACACTTTTACACTGTTGGTGGGACTGTAAACTAGTTCAACCATTGTGGAAAACAATGTGGCGATTCCTCAAGGATGTAGAACTAGAAATACCATTTGACCCAGCCATCCCATTACTGGGGATATACCCAAAGGATTATAAATCAAGCTGCTATAATGACACATGCACACGTATGTTTATTGCAGCACTATTCACAATAGCAAAGACTTGGAATCAACCCAGATTTCCATCAGTGACAGACTGGATTAAGAAAATGTGGCACATATACACCATGGAATACTATGCCGCCATAAAAAAGGATGAGTTCGTGTCCTTTGTAGGGACATGGATGCAGCTGGAAACCATCATTCTCAACAAACTATTGCAAGAACAGAAAACCAAACACCACATGTTCTCACTCATAGGTGGGAACTGAACAATGAGATCACTTGGACACAGGAAGGGGAACATCATACACCGGGGCCTATTGTGAGTAGAGGGGAGAGGGAAGGGATAGCATTAGGAGATATACCAAACGTAAATGACGAGTTAATGGGTGCAGCACACCAACATGGCACATGTATGCATATGTAACAAACCTGCACGTTGTGCACATGTACCCTAGAACTTAAAGTATAATAATGATTTTTTTTAAGTCAAAAAAAGAAAAAGAAAAAAAATAAGAAAATAATTTATCTAGGGTCCATTGTAGAAAAATGTGGTGAGCGCGCCCCCTTGTGTTCAAGTTTTGAAAATACACATTTTTGAAACATTCAGTTGCAGAGTTCTGTTTTCAATTTACAGATTACTGAGGTATCTTCAGCTACTATATTCTATGAATCACTGGATTCATTACTCTAAAAGGCACAAAGACAAGTGATGGCAGAGTCTGTCTATGTCTCTTTAATTTTTGAATTCTAGCAGCTAGCACAGTGACACTCAGGAAGCAGATTCTCAGCTAATTTCTGTCAAATGTAATTTAACCATTATTTTCTTACTGGGAAATAGCAAGATAGAGAAAATGGAGGATGATGGGAACTTTGAGTAGATGGTGGGGATGGTGGGGATGGTAGGGATGGTAGGGAGAGCAGGGAGGAGTGAAGAGCCACAATAGTAAAACCTTGTATCATCATAAAGCTTTAAACTTCTGCAAAATACTTTCATTTCTGTCAGCATAGTTGAAAAAGTACGAGACTGAGTGCAGAATCTCTAATTAAAAGGTGAAAATTTTTGAATTCTCCCTTCACAGTATTGGTTCATTCAATCGACAAAATATATGTTATTTTCATAACAGAGATTCTCTACTTACCCCTTATCTGCTTCAACTTACTGTGATATTACCTGTCAACCCAATTATCACTGAACAAATATTTGTGGATTGCCTACTATGGGCCACAAGTGTTCTAAACAGTAGGAAGCAATGGTAAGCAAAACAAAAAATAGTCTCTGCTGTTGTAGCCCTAATAGCCAAGTGGACTTCTAAAGTAATAGAAATTACCACTACTGTTGCTGTCCATCTTGGCTGTTGCTGGTGGTAACCAATAGTCAAGGCTTGTATGTGCATGTCAAGGCTCTAATATTTGCAAGGAAACTTCTGTCTTCTATTATGTCAGCAGCCATTGGCAACAAAGTTGTTGAAGCCTTGGAACACTACTTATTGAGTTTTTACTCCTTTTATTGCTAGTCTCTTGCTCTAAGACTCAAGCATAAGTACTAAGAGGACAGACTGGAAGACAGAGTAAGAAAAGCATTCTCTTATACCACACAATTGTACCACACATTGTCTTATACCAAAACAATATAATTTGACTCCCTTTCCTTAAGATGTTCTTTCATGGAAGATTTGCATGGACATTCTTCTTATAGTTCCCCAGACATATGCAGTTATGCCTTACTACTTAGGGCAGAGATTGCTTAGGCACATGGTAGGATCCATACTATTCTGTGCTTTAGGAAAGTCATTACCAAGTTTTGAAATTCATTTGGCTTAATGAGTGAGTTAAAAGTAAAGGCTCATACCTGTAGTCCCAGCACTTTAGGAGGCCAAGGGGGGTGGATCACCTGAGGCAGGTGGATTACTTGAGGTCAGGAGTTCGAGACTGGCATGGCAAACATGGTGAAACCCCATCTCTACAAAAATACAAAAAGTAGCCAGGCATGATGATGCATGCCTGTAATCCCAGCTGCTCAGGAGGCTGAGGCAGGAGAATCACTTGAACCTGGGAGGCGGAGGTTGCAGTGAGCCAACATCATGCCACTGCACTTCAGCCTGGACGACAGGGCAAGACTTTGTCTCAAAAAAAAAAAAATTATGTTTTTCCTTTATATAATTTTCTTTAAGGTGCTTGGCTGCTTTATTAAGATCTTATAATTTCAAATTAAATATTATTATTATTATTTTTAGAGACAGGGTCTTGCTCTGTCACCCAGGCTGGAGTGCAATGGTGTGAGCAAAGCCCCCTGCAGCCTTGAACTCTTGGGTTCAAATGATCCTCCTGCCTCAGCCTCTTGAGTCTATAGGACTACAAGGCACACATCACCATTTCCTGGCTTAAATATTATTTTATTTTAATAATTTCAGCTGAAAATAATTCCAAAATGAAAGCAAAGGATTTTTAAATAAATTTATCTTTTATGTTTTAGAATGTGCTACTCTTCATAATATAATTAAAGGGCTACAACAGACCATTGAATGTCAACAGAATTTGAAAGGTAAGTTAGAAAAAAAAGTAAAATCTAAAAAAGCTTTGTTTATTTGAGCACTTTTAAAAATGGGAAGCTTTTACGTTGTTGATAATAAGTTTGAATTTATCAGCTAAAAGTGGACATCTTACTACTTAAAAATATTTTCCTAGATGATTATGAAATAAGAAATGTTATGCTGAACGGAACAATTCAGTCATGTTCTATCTGATAGTGACATAAAGGGATGTTTTGTATAGGTCATATAATTATTACCTTAAAAAGTTTAGAAATAGATTTATTCTCAGTAGCATTGTTGGTCTTTAATAACCTTGTGTTCAGTTTTGAAGAGTGGGTATTACTAGTTAAACCATAATTTTTTATTTAAACCACAGTGATAATTTACCATTTAATTTTTTTGTCATAGACTAAGACTGTATTTGTGCAAGTGAAGTCAACACATTCAGCTTACCTTATCTTTAACAAACATTTTAATCAAACAGGCCTACCATTCACAAAACAGACCAACCAAGTATTTTGTGCTGTTCTGACTCAGCTGTGATGGCTGTGAGATTTTTTTCTACTATATCAGAGATTAAACTAAATTGCCTTAAAGGCCCCTTCCGCATAAAACTCACATCAAATAAGCATTTCTCATCTTAGACCTCTGCTTTTATTTTAAAACAAGCACCTTATATATGTGAGATAAAATATTGATCTTATATGTGATTCCTGTAATTTGGAGTGTTAAAAAAGGGCATTCGTTGAAACCCCGTCTCTACTAAAAAATACAAAAAACTAGCAGGGCGAGGTGGCGGGCGCCTATAGTCCCAGCTACTCGGGAGGCTGAGGCAGGAGAATGGCGTGAACCTGGGAGGCGGAGCTTGCAGTGAGCCGAGATCCGGCCACTGCGGAGCTTGCAGTGAGCCGAGATCCGCCACTGCACTCCAGCCTGGGCGACATTGGTATTCCGTCAAAGGCGACAGAGCGAGACTCCGTCTCAAAAAAAAAAAAAAAAAAGGGGGGCACTCGTGCTCCTATTTCAATGCCAAGGCTCAAAACAACTTTTCCCTTCCTTGTGACTAAAATACCACACCCAGCTGGGTTCTCTATTCTCTTCCATAATCTACATGTCTGGTTTTTTTTAAACAGTGCTACTGTTCTGATTATTGTAGCTCCATAATATATTTTGAAATTAGGTAGTGCAATGGCTCCAGGTTTGTTCTTTTTACTCAAGATTTCTTGGGCTATTTGAGGTCTTTTGTGATTCCATATGAATTTTAAGATTGTTTTGTCTACTTCTGTAAAGAATATCATTGGCATTTTGATAGTGATTGCATTAAATATGCAGATCATTTTAGATAGTATGGACATTTTAACAATATTTTAACAATTTTAACAATATTAATTCTTCTAATCTATTTATCTGTGTCTTCTTTCATTTCCTTCATCAATGTTTTATTACTTTCAGTGTACAAGATTCTCACCTTCTTTGGTTAATTCTTAAGTATTTTTATTGCCATTGTTAATAAGATTGTTTCTTAATTTCCTTTCCAGATATTTTGTAATTTGTATATAGAAATGTGACCGATTTTTGTATGTTGATTTTGTGTAGTGCAACTTTACTGAATCTGTTTATTAGTTCTAATAGGTTTTCTAAGTATATAGTCATGTCATCTGAGAATATAGATAATTTTCTTCTCTTCTGATTTGGATACCCTTTATGTCTTTCTCTTTCCTACTTGCTCTGTCTAGGATTTCCAGCAAATATGTTGAAAAGAAGTGGCAAAAATACTAAACACACTCCTGAACAATCATTGAGTCAAAGAATAAACAAAGGAATTTTAAAATATCTAGACAAATGAAAACACAACATACCAAAACCTATAGGATACAGCAAAAGACATTTTAATGGGGAAGTTTATGGCTGTAAAGCCTAAATTTAAAAGGAAAAAAATATATATCCAATAAGTAATGTATCTTTATGCCTCAAGGAACTAGGAAAAAAAAAAAACAAATTAAGCCCAAAAGTAATCAAAGGAAAGAAATAATGAAGATTATAGGAGAAAACAATCAAATAGAAGATTAAAAAAACAGAAAATTTAACAAAACTAAGAGTTTGTTTTATTGAAAAAATAAAATTGACAAACCCTTGGCTACACTGAAAAAAAAAAGAAAGATGTCAGTAAATAAAAGCAGAAATGAAAGAGAAAACGATACAACTGTTGTCTTAGGGGGCGTAAGGAGGATAATAAGGGACTATTAAGAGCAACTATATGCTAACAAACTGGATAACCTAGAAAAAATAGTCAAATACCTAGGAACATACAACCTGCCAAAACTGAGTCAGAAATAGTCAGAACACACCAACAACAAATAAGGAGATTGAGTAAATAATCAAAAATCTCCCACCAAAAGAAGCCCAGGATGAGGTGGCTTCATGGGGAATTCCATTAAACACTCAGATAAAAAGTAATACCAATTTTTCTTAAACTCTTTCAAACAATAAAAGCAAAGGGAACACTTCCAAACTCATCTATGAGGCCAGCATCACCCTGACACCAAAATCAGACAAAGACACTGCAAGGAAAGAAAATTACATCCCAATATCCCTGATAAACACAGACTCAAAAATCCTCAATAAAATACTATCAGATAAAATTAAACAGCCCATTAAAAAGATCATATATCCTAACCAAGTGGGATTTATCCCTGGGATGCAAGTATAGTTCTGTATACACAGATCAATCAGTGTGATACACCATGTGATTTCTATTTATTATCAAAATGAGTAGGAAAAAAACACACGAACACCTCAATAGATACAGAAAAAACATTTGACAAAATTCAACATCCACTGATGAATTAAAACTCTCACAAAATAGGTATAGATAGAGAAGATAATAGGCATGGAAGGATCTTGCCTTAACACAATAAATGCCGTAAATGAAAAGCTCACAGCTAACATCACAAAGAATGGGAGAAAACAGAAAACTTTCTCTTTGAGATCCAGTACAAGGCAAGTACAAGTTTTAAAACAGCCATTCTTGGCCGGGCGCTGTGGCTCACGCCTATAATCCATATCCCAGCCAACATGGTGAAACCTCACCTCTACTAAAAAAAATACAAAAATTAGCTGGGTATGGTGGCGCTTGCCTGTAATCCCAGCTACTCAAGAGGCTAAGGCAGGAGAATCACTTGAACCAAGGAGTTGGAGATTGCAGTGAACCGAGATCACGCCACTGCACTCCAGCCTGGCCACAGAACGAGACTCTGTCTCAAACAATAAAAAAATAAAATAGCCATTCTAAAAAATGAATATTGTATGATGCCTCTTGCAAATAAATGACGATTCATTGAGTTCACTTTCCCAATGCTTTTACAAGCCTTGATTGAGCAAGATGATAGATAAGAATTATCTGTATTTGACCATTTTCATCCAATTGATTGCCAAATAGTATGATTAATCTGCTTATTTAAGCTACCCAGTGGTTTCCTTTCCAATAGCTCTTTTCCCTCCTTAATAGGAAACTGTTTTTCATTTTCAGACATTCACCCTTTATTCACTTAACCATATGCCTCAGGGAAAGCTGATTGCATCCAAACTCCAAGGGAGTTCTTTTGGAATAATTTTCCTCTCTCCCAAGAGATGGACTGTGTTCTTCTGGTTGTTATAAGACTGTATATAATGCCTAAAATAGTTGCAGATTTCTTGTTTCTAGTCTAAAACTCATGCCAGCAGGATGATTTTGGAGGACAGCAAGAAAAGTAAACTAAAAGGATCTGGTTTTTTGGTAACACTATTGAGCCGATTAATCAGTTACCCTTTGGGTTTAAGAAACTTTTCAGTTACAATGAGAGAAATGCTACCTTCCTTTAGTCTTATCAATGAATCTTTCCAGTAGGGACTTATGGATTATGTAAAAGGTAATTCAATGAGATGTAGAAAAAATTGCAATTCTTATTTATCTTTATTTTTATCTGAAAATTCAAAGCCAGTCATCTTACAAAAATTTAGTAACTAGGATAATATTCCTTTTTCTATGTGTAAGTTAATTATATGTCACGCGTGATACACAAGGTTCTTCTTTCTCTGAGGAGAATGGGAGTTCTAAAACTGAACAATTGCATGTTTGCTTTTTCCTCTAGTTTCAGTGTATGGCCATGTAGTACAGTTTATATGTATCTAGATAAGAGGATTGATAGATAAAAGTAGCTAGTTCTAATCAAACTAATCCTTCCAAAATGGACAAGTAGTTTTAAAAAATAAAACATATATTGAGGACAATAATAATTACAATAATGCAAGCACAAGCCAACAATAAGAAATTATCAGAGCTGTCACTTCTCCTACCCCCATACAAGCTCTTTATCAGGCATATTAAGTTAAAAAGTAATCAAAGTCTATTAGACTTGATAAAATGTCAGCCAACAGTGGCCAATTAACTGATTTTGGAAAATTAATTTATGGAAATACCATTGTATCTTTAGAAATGGTTCCACCATTAAGCAACTTCAGGGCTAAAACTGTGTCACTTTTAAGTATTCTCACTTGCACATAAAACTTGGAAATAGAATTCTAACTTTAATGAAAATCCTTCAAATGCACCTCATGTTTCTGGTAAAACATATAAGGATCTCGGAAGTTGTCATTCCCTGCTAACAACAAGTAAAACATTGAGCAAACTGAAAAATTAACAATTCTTAGACTCTTTTGATCACAGAAGTGAGGTCACAGGACAGATTGATGCACCTAAAATTGGAGACAGGGAGGCAGATTCGGAAAATCACAACTTACAAGAACAGAAACCTCCCTGTTTGTCAGGCCGGGAAACCCTAAAATGTAATTTTGATGAATTGCAGGAGGCTCACCGTGGTCAAGTCTAAGAGATTAAAAATTTCAGGGGACCCAATCCCATAGGGGAGCCCCTACAGTTTTGTAAGTTTTACCTGTAAGAGCTCTACTAAGATCTCACAGTTAAGATATGGGGAAAATCCCCTCATGTTGTTGGCCAGAGGAGAGGAAAAGT